ATATATATTTTTTTTTTTTATAAGTACACCTTCTTTTCTTTTTTTAATAAAAATAAATTCTTGAAATATCATGAACGTAAAAAAAATAAGGAGAAAATTATAAATTCAACAATAAAGGTAAAATAAAAAAAATACAGGATAAAAAATTAGATATTTAGAAGAAAAAAAAAGTGTAAATGTAGTGTATATATATCATCAACCTATAAAAAAAGATATAGAATGTTTCGGATTAGACATAAAGGCCCAATCCACTGTGCATTGGTAGCACAAAAAAGTAGAAGCCCAAGCTAGCGATCTTGATGTTGGGCTGTGCGGCTCATTTGCGGCCCATTTGATTTTGGTATTTATTTTGTACGCTCAATTTAAAAGGAATTCATGCACCATATATATCACGAGTTTTGTGTATGTTATGCATATTTAATAACTTAGAATGTGAATTTTATATATGCAATCCTTGAAATTATAACTGTATAGTAATTAATTAGTTATATAGTTTTTTTTTATTTTTTATTTTTCACGTGTATCTTTCTTTTAAAAGTAATTTTATTTGAGATATGGTCAGAAACTGAATATGAATATTTCTTTATAAAGATTTGAACTTTAATCCACGAGATTGTTGAAGATAACTCTTTTTGATAAACTCAAACTCCATTTGCAATAGTTTTCAGATCTTGTTGTCAAGGAAAAAACCAAAATAAGAGATGACAAACATTAGAAAAATCAAAAACAAAAATAATAATTATATAAGTTTAAAATAGAAATCACTATATTTGTGGAGATGTAAAACATATTTAAGGCTTTATTAATATAATATAAAATTAATAATTTTGTATTAAGTTGTTTATCAACTATTAAGTCAATAATAATAAATACTGTAAAAAAAAGTCAATAACAATAAATTGATAAAATATAAATAAATAAATAAAAAAGCAATAGTAATAAATTGATATTAAAACTTGTATATGAGCCATTTTTTATGTCGATAATTTTATTTTAAAAAAAATAACAAAAAAAATATCTTTTACTGTAACATTCTAAATAAAATCTCCATTTTTCGTTTGTGAGTTATTTCAATCTTTTGGATATCAAAAACTAAAGAAGGAATTTTGAGAATATTTATTAAACAAAAAATTCTTTTCATGTTTAGAAATTACAAACTTTTAGAATCATAATTCATAAGAATTATAAAAATTTATTAAGCATAATTATTTTTGAAAATGTTTTAAAGTGTTAATTAGGAATTAATAATTTTTATCACAATAAATAAACAGATAAAGGTGAGGATAATTTTTTTACCGTGTTATAACTATTTTTACTTTAAAAAAGTTAGTTTCTCACCTTCCTATAAAAATTAATTTCATGAAAAGCATGTAAAAAATGATTCCTAAGAATAGGCATGCAAAGAAATCAAATGAATCAATTTAAATTTAAAACTGAACTGCACCATCTAAAAAAATGAAACTATGTTGCTTACATGAAATGGACTTTAAAAACTAAACCACAATTGTAATTAAGTTCAGTGTACTAGTGAACCATTTTTTAAATAATGAAATAAAATAAAATAAAATTAATTTATTTATGTTTCTTATATCTCACAATTTAATGATTTACAATATCCCATAAAATGGTTGAACATTACTTAGTGTCATGGTGTCTTTGTATTTTTTATTTTTGATTTTATTAGACTATTAAAGTAAATGTTGGTTATCAAATCACACGTCATAATTAATTTTTCACATGACAATTATAGCTCTTCAATGTTTTTGACAATTATAGCTCTTCAATGTTTTTGGATTGACCTTGGATTCCTTTGTGGAAACTTTTTTCTTTTAAAAAATATTTTTTAATAAAATAAAAAAAATACTTATTACAATGTGTTTATCTACTTAATTAGTCTCTAAGTTAAATGTCTAACTAGTCAAAGACTTTTAATATGTATCTGAAGGCTGTATTAATCATAACTTTATTCACAATTTTGAAGAAAAAAATTTCTTTAAAAAAATTTAAAATTGGTTCAATTCTTAAAATCAGTTTAAAATTGGTTTGATTCTGAAATTGATTCTAAACCAATTATGAACCTATTTATAAAAGTGGTTTAGTTTTTAATTGGTTTATTGATGTGGTTCAAATGGTTTATAAACTGGTTTAATTTGATATAATGTTGTGGTGCGGTTTAGTGTGATTAAAAAAAATGAACCATGCACATCCCTACTGGAAAAATAATGTTTCTTAGGAATTTTATTTTTTGAATAATAAACCAAACACAAAAAACTAACATTGTAACACTGTACTCAGGTAAACTAGATAAGTTGTGAGGGTCTTTAATCAGAGGTCCAATTGACCCTGAGAGGGGAAGGTATATAAGGTTTTGTTTTGAGTTGGGCTTTATAAGTTCTTAATTTTCATACCTT